CAGACGGGTCAGGTCATGACTGCGACGTCTCAAGGTTGTCTCATCCAGCTTGGCGCAGGGCATCGACCGGGGAAGGTCGGGAGGTCCCGATGTCTGACGTGGAGAGGGTTCTGCAGCTGGCCTTGGACGTTGTCGACGGCGGCATCTTCTAAGTGACATGGGCCGTCAAGTACCTGCACGAGGCCGTCCTCGATGTGTTGGTTAGGGCCCTTCACCGACCTTCCGGAGGTCAGTGCCAATTCAGAGTTAAACTCATGGTGTCGTGCCCGCGAGAACTGATGGCATGACCAGGGGGGGTGGCTGACGCCTGATGTCCCTCTTGCGGGAGCTGATGGCACGACCGAGAGGGTACGCTTGACGCCAGATGTCGCTCCGTCGGGAGCTGATCGGATGGCCAGGGGACGTTTAACGCTTGACGTCCCTCCCTCGGAAGTTTAACGCCTGATGTCATTTCTTTCGTGGTCCCGTCGGATGCGCACAGGTTTTTGGTCCGTTGGAAGGGGGCTGTGAGTGGTGCCGCGCCTTCGTCAGTGGTGCCGTCGGCCCTGCAGATGTTTCAATCTGGCGCCGCCGGTGGCAGTGCTGATGCCGCCCCTCCGCGTATCGATCAGGAGAAAGCCGTGACGCCTGCGTTGGCCGCACCCGATCACAGTTTAAGGAACTGGTGAGTTTGGGATGCCCGCGGTTATCTTCGATTTGTCCTCGGTGGTGCCAGCCCTGAGGCTGCTGGCCCATGGGCGCGCTGATTTTTTGGCCAGTTCTGTAGTCGTATGAAAACGAGGACAACTCGGGTCTCCCGCCAGGGGGCCGTTTGCCATCCGACGTCCTCCGACGCGCACGGTAGGTCACACATGTTTGCGGTTATTTCCGGATTGTGATTTCAGTTCTGTTAGCTCGACCTTCGCCCCGAAGCCTGTCAGGTGCCGCCAGCGCGTCTTCCTCGTCCTCCTCGTCCTCCTCTTCATCCTTGTCCTCGTCCCTTCCTCCTCCTCCTCCTCCTCCTCCACCTCCTTCATCATCGTCGTTTTCATCTCCAGTCCCATCCGCATCGTCATCCCCATCGTCGTCCTCGTCCTCGTCTTGGGGGGCGGGGGGCCGGCCGCGACTCTCCAGGGTATGCCGTGCCGCGCTCGCCGGCAAGCTTCCACGGGTCTCCCTGCCACGAGGCCCGGGCGACGGCGGCAGCCGAGGGTCGCTTCCTTTCCCTCCTCCCGCTCGTCGTCAGCTCCATCGCCTCCAGTCGGGGGAAGTGGGAGAGAGGGGTGGGAGATGGTGGGGGAGGAGGAGGAGGAGGAGGAGGAGGAGGAGGAGGAGGAGGAGGAGGAGGAGGAGGAGGAGGAGGAGAGAGGGAGGAGGAGGAGGAGGGGGGGGCGGGAGGAGCAGGAGGAGTCGTCTGGATCTCCTCCCGTCTTGGCCCCCCCCCTTTCTCTCCCTCCTCCGTGCCTCCCCTCCTCCTCCTCCTTCCTCCTCCTCCTCCTCCTCCTCCTCCTCCTCCTCCACGCTGGTCGTCGCACGCCGGGGCGTGTCAGCAGGGCGGCGTAGGGCGCTTCGCCTCGTGCCTCCTCACCGTTTTTCGGGTCCCGAGGCTGAGATCCTGCAAGAGCTTCACGGGTGGCGGGCCGGCCTTTCTCTCACAGTGCGGTTCTCGTACCGCTGGAGGCCCGAAGTGGGCACGGAAAGAATGGGTACCCCAGATTCCGTAATAGAAGGAAGGGGGTCACAACCCTCCCAGACGAGAAGTCTTAGACCCCCCAGACCATCCATGAAAGGGCGGCCCTGTGCCCAGACCCCCCCGAACCCTCCAAGACAGCTCAAATCAGACCCCCCCCCAAATGTGCCCCCCCCACTTTATTTTGGAATCCTGAGTACACTGCCGAACAGCAGTTCCTGTTCATTTCGAACAGGATTCGCTGTCCACGCCGCCGCGGCCTGTGTCCACTCGAGGCAGAGGGCCGCCTGCCCCACAGCTGCCGCTGTTGGTTTGGGACAGCATTTGTCGTAGGGCGTTGTGCCCATTTTTTCCGTACCCATTTCGGGCGTCCAAAGTGCCAGCGCCGCGGACGTTCGTGCTGAAGGTTGCCAGGCGCCTTGCGAATCGAGGGCGGTGCTCTTGCATCATGTGGCTCTCGCTTTGGCGCCGCCAGGGCGGGGGTCGTCTTCAAAGCGTTGCTCTCGCACTGGCGCCGCGCACGTTCGTCTTCGACATCTTGCAGGAGCTCCACGAGTCGAGGGCGGCTCTTCTTCAGCACGTGGCTCTCGCCCCAGCGCCGCGCGCCTTCGTCTTGAACGTCCGCAGGCGTTGCACGAAGTGAGGGTGGGCCGTTCTCAGAAGGCGGCTCTCGTTGGCGCCGCGCACATGCGTCTTCGACTGAAGTCGGGCCTGTCCCTCCACAGGGGGAATATCCAAAAATAGTTAAAGAATAGTCTGGGGCTTATGCTTTCAGTATTTTTGGGTATATTTCGAATTTTTTTGGTGCATGTTCGTCCATATGTTGGGTATATTTGGGGATATTGTTTGGGGTATTTTTTTGTTGTTGATATGTTTGGGGATACTTTGGGTATATGTTTGGTTTTTTGGGTATGCTTTGGTCCAAAATCACCCTGTATGGGGGACAGGCCCGACCTGATCTTCGACACCTGCATCGGAGTTTGGCGGACGCAGGGCGGCTCCGTCTCCACAAGAAGGCTCTCGCCGGAGCGCCGCGCGCACACTCGCTGCAGAACACGGCAGGAGTCTCCGTGGGTAAACACACGCACACGCACACGCACAGGCACACGCACACGCACACGCACACGCACACGCACACGCACACACGCACACACGCACACACACACACACGTCTGTGGAAAAAAACACAAAAAGCACACACGTTGTGTGTGTGTGTGTGTGTGTTTACCCACACTGTGTGTGTGTCTGTGTGTCTGTGTGTGTGTGTGTGTGTGTGTGTGTGTGTGTCTGTGTGTGTTTTTACCCACTGTGTGTGTGCGTGTGTGTGTGTGTGTGTGTGTGTGTGTCTGTGTCTGTGTGTGTGCGTGTGCGTGTGCGTGTGTGTGTGTGTGTGTGTGTGTGCGAGTGTGCGTGTCTGTGTGTCTGTGTCTGTGTGTGTGCGTGTGCGTGTGCGTGTGTGTGTGTGTGTGTGTGTGTGTGTGTCTGTGTCTGTGTGTGTGTGTGTGCGAGTGTGCGTGTGTCTGTGTGTGTGTGTGTGTTTTGTACCCACGGATGGGGGGGCGGTTCCTTCTCAGAGCCGGTGCTCGCCCTGGCGCCGCGCCCGCACGCGCTGCGAGGCACGGCAGGGGCTGCAGGGATGGAGGGCGGCTCCTTTCCAGAAGGTGGCCCTCGCCGTGGCGCCGCGCGCAGTCGCGTCGTGGCAAGGGCTATCACGGATGGAGGGCGGTTCCCTGTCAACATATGGGTCTCGCCTTAGCGCTGCGCACGTTCGTCTTGCTCGTGTGCAGCAGTCTCAATGATTCTCACGGAGCAGGTGCAGGAGCTTCACGGATAAGAGGGCTGTTCCTCGTCAACATGCGGGTCTCGCCTGGGCGCCGCGCACACTCCACGGATAAGAGGGCGGCTACTCTCCACAAGGTGGCCCTCGCCGTGGCGCCGCGCGCGTTCGTTTCTTACTGGTGCAGGGGCTTCGCGGATAAGAGGGCGGTTCCTTGTCGACATGTGGGTCTCGCCTGAGCGCCGCGCACACTCGTCTTGCTCGTGTACAGCAGTTTCAATGATGCTCATGTCCGCGTGCGAGAGATGGCGTGTTGGCACGATGTCAGACTGTCAGGGCGCAACACTTACATTGATTCGCGGTGTTGGGGTCCTAGGAATGGGGTTCTGGCACGATTCAGGACCGTCAGGACGCAACAGTAACGATGATTTGCGGCGCTGAAATCCCAGCAATGATGTTTTGGCACAGTTCATGATTTTCAAACGGTTGTCTTCCCACGTGGCTTTCCCTTCAGTGAAAATGAATGCTTGTATGGGGCCTATGAAAAGGGAACTTGGAGGGAGGGTGTATTGCAATATGGTTGATCAGTCTTTGGTTTTCAGTGGTCCTTCTCCCCTTCCTCCTCCTCCTCCTCCTCCTCCTCCTCCTCCTCTCTCTCCTCTGTATCTTCCCCTATCCGCATTATCTTGCTGATCTTCCTCTTCCTTTTTCTGGGGACTTTCTCGGGGGGGGGGGAGGGGGACAGAGGAGGAAACAAGGGAGGGGTGGAGGGGGGGGGATGGAGAGAGTGATCCTGTAGGAGCGGGGGAGGTGGTTGGAGATTATGTTGGCTCGGCGAGCTCGGCGACCCGCGTTGGCGCCCGAAGTGCCCTAAGCAGGGTGGGGTGAGGGGGGGATCGCGAGTGGGGAGTAGGGGGATATGTTGGAGGGAGTGGAAGCTTAGTGACCCCTCGAAGCAATAGGGTAGTTTTTTACCTGTTCCGTTTTGCAGATTTTGGCTGGTTCTGGCGTCGTTTCTCCCCCGATCCGTCGCCGTTGTTTTTCTGGTCTCAGTTCCAGTTCCAACTCTGGAGCCGTTCTCCTCCGTTTCGGGGGCCGTTCTTTTGTTGTGGACGTTTTCATCTTCCAGAGACAGCTTTATGAAACCGCTACGTCGCACGTGTTTGTTTATTCTGATGCACACGCACACATTTATATATACATGTATATATACATATATATATATATGTGTGTGAAGCAACCTCTGGCTTCGGGGGGCCCTCGCCAGACCCCAGGACGGTCACAGAAACGATTCAGGATGACGAGCTGGTCCCTTGGACGAGGTTCACAGCTATGGGGAGCTGAGTTGCAACAACGCGATATTGGATGCCTGGGTCGCCCCGCATCGCGCCGCTGGGTGTAGCTCGGCTCAGGAAGAGCAAGAGTTTACAACATATTCCTCGCCCCTCCCCGTCACTCCTGCCTCTCCCCTCCTGCCTCGTCCCCTCCCTGCTGTCGCGTTCCTCGTCCCCCCCCCCCCTTCTGCCTCCCTCCTGCCTCGTCCCTCCTCCTCCTCCACGCGTTTTTTCTCCCTCCTGCCTCGTCCCTCCTCCTCTTCGCGTGGATAGGATCCGGGTCGGTTTTGGTTCAGGCCGTTCTGGCTTGGGCCTGCGCGCCCGCACGCCCGCGCATGTGCTGGGGCAGAGGCTGTGGCTAGATGGTGGCGGCTGGCCTGGGTCTGACAGGCATGCGGTCGGAGTCGGCGAGTAGACGGCTCCGCCGACCGCGCTTGCATGATGCCCGTGCTGCGTCGCGCGTGCCGCCTGCTGCCCACAGCCCGGAGGTGCTCAGCATAGCGGAGCTTAACGTCATCGAGGTTGATATCGATGCTTGCTGGCTCTCCCCTGCGACACTTACGCATGCCGCCTGTGAGGATCACAACGGCTGCGAGCAACACGAGAGCGACTCTGAAGAGTGCGAGCTGGACGGTGAGCAGCACGAGACCAGAACTGAAGAGCTCGAGCAGGGTTGCGGTCCGACGGTGAAGACGCTGAGGGGCCACGACGGATTCGAGCAGTCCTGGGGTCAGACCATGAAGACTCCCACGTGCACGCTTCAGGGCGACGTCGGGAACGAGCGGGAGTATGCGGGCAGACGCCGCTGAAGCGCGAGGGCACGCTGAAGAGTAACGACGAACGCCAACATCAGAGTCTATGTGGACAGGCGCTGAGCACGCCGACGGGCGGACCCGGGGGCGACGGCGAGCACGAGCAGAATACCAGGCAGACGCTGATGGGGAGCCCAGTGACGGGCGACGTCGATGATGTGCGCAACTGAAAGGACAAACGCCACGAACTGATTGCGCTGCGAAGGGCGCGCCTGGCGGCAGAGGTCCAGGATTCGGTGCACGATGGCGCGCACATGATCATTGCAGTCTGTCAGCTTCAGTGTGCGCGTGATGGCGGCGCTACGCTGTAGGAGCGCGGTGGAGATCGTCGAGGTCGGGCCGGACCTCATCCTCCTCGTCCTCGCCACGGAGGGCTTCAAGGAATTCGGCGGCCACGGCGTGTTGTCGACCTTGCGGGCGGCGCTGGGGGGTCGTCGCCCTTTGTGGCTCCCTCTGCTTTCTCAGTCTGTTTCGAAGCCGGTTCGTGTCATGTACTATGCTTCATGCGCTTCGTGTGCATTCGGTCAGCCCCTTCCTCGCTAAGGTTCGTGGTCGTTCCTGGCCCACTGAGATCTAGGCTTCCGTGTTATACTGCCGCTTTAAATGCTGGGCGCCGTTTCGGTTCCCAGATGTTCCCCCCCTCTTTTTTAGTTTGTGTGTTTTTGCTCGGGTTGGTGTACCCCGTCCCCGCGGAAGACAATTTGCTGGATGTTGTGGGCGTCTGCACAGCGGGGTCGATGCACGCGTTATGGGGTGCGCTCGTCGTAGAAGGAGCCTGGCACACACCTGATTCGTTTCTTGCGCGTTTTCTATGAGGAATCATTCCCACTTGGCAGTGATGCGCCCGGATTCCCGCGGCGCGCGCAGTGGCGATGGGATCGGCAATCCGCTTGTTGCGCCGCGAACGAAAACCGGCGGTCGGACTCGAGGCGGGGCGAAGCCCGTCCACCCGTGACGAACGTGTCTGCCTGGCACCGAAACCCCTGGGGACTTCGGCGTCGTCCGGGTGCCTGCGGAGACCTCTGGAGGTCTCTGGGGGCTTCCCTTCGAAAGTGCAGAAGTATGGCTCGGCCTAAACGATGTTTTGGCGATCTCGTGGGCCGTTTTCGCCTTGACGTCGTTCTGCTGCAGAGACGGAACGAACACATAACGAGGGAAGACGGACACGACACGATCATCGAGAACGCTGCTTGTGCCGAGCTCTGCGTAGGAGTGAGAACGGGGCAAGGTCAAATGGAGGCGACGTCGGCTCCTCCTCTCGTATTCTCCGGTCCCTCCCTGTGTGATTCCCAGCTTCGGATCCCAGAATTCTCAGACAACCCGTCCGCAATCTGACAGAGCCTTCGCCGTCTTTCCCCTCTTCCTCCTTCATGTTTTCCGTCCTCCAGCCCCCATATTCTAACCAGGAATTGGAAGGAGGACGGGAGGAGGAGGTGGAGGAGGAGGGAGGAGGAGGGGGAGGGGGGAGGAGGGGGAGGAGGGGGAGGAGGAGGAGGAGGAGGAGTAGGAGGAGGAGGAGGAGGAGGAGGAGGAGCGAGGAGGAGGGGGAGGGGGAGGAGGGGAAGGATGGGTGAGGAGGAGGAGTAGGAGGAGGAGGGGGAGGACGAGGAAGAGACATAATAATATTATTCTAACAATAAAAATATCAACAATAATGATAATGCTAATACGACGACGGATAATATTAATATTAATACTAATAGCGCTAATAAGAAGAGGAATAAGCAGGGGAAGAGGAAGAGGAAGAGGAGGAGGAGGAGGAGAAGGGGGAGGAGGAGGAGGAGGACGGGGAGGAGGAGGAGGAGGAGGAGGAGGAGGAGGAGGAGGAGGAGGAGGAAGAAGCGGAAGAGTTGGATGAGGAGGACAAAGAGGGAATATCCATGAGGAACATGACCAGGAGGCGTGGGAACACGCGGAGGAGAAGGGAAGATGAGGAGAAGGAAGTGGAGGAGTAGGTTGGCAGTGACGACAATAACCACGACCACCATAACCACCGCCACGGCGGCGACGACGACACGACAACACGACGACATGACGATGACCATCGCAACGACCACCGCGACACGACGACGAAGTTCGACCATAATCTTCTTAGCCTTTGTCCACGCGGCCACAGCGACGACGACCTGCGACCTATACCTTTTCCAGGATCCATCCTGGCTAGTTGTTTGAGCAGCGTCCAGCCTTGGCCTCGAGGGGACCCCCCAGAGGGCTGAAAGAAGCGTCGACGACGGTGGCGGCGACAGCGGCGACGAACGCGGTGGCGGTGGACGACCACCACCACCACCACGATGACGACGACGACGACGTCGACGACGACGACGACCATGACCACGACCACGACCACGACCGCGACCACGACCGCGGCCACGACGGACGACGGACGACTGACGACGGGCGACCGACGACCGACGAGCGATGACTGGCGACCGACGACGACGACGTCCGACCAGAATTTTCGAAACGTTTGTCCATGCGACCACAGCTACGACGACCTGAGACAAAGATCCCAGTCAGGATTCACCCTCGCTAGTTTTTGAGCAGCTCCCAGACTTGGGCCACGAGGGGACTCCCGAAGGCCAGAACGCGTCGGTGACGCCGGTGGCGGCGATGACGACGACGACGACGACCCGATGCTGCTCAGCGCCTGTGTCAGCCGAAGGCACCCGTACGACATCACCGCGCCAGGCTAGGGCTATCCCGGGCTCTGAGGTAAGAAGGACCCTCCACCTGGTCGGACCGACGAGGAGGAGGAGGAGGAGGAGGAGGAGGAGGAGGAGGAGGAGGAGGAGGGGGAGGAAGATGAGGAAAGGCGTGGACCCTCCTGGCCTCGGCCAAGAGGGCGTGTGCACCACGTCGGGCCGTCCAGAGAGAGGCCCTAGCCCTCGAGGGGCCGAGGAGTCGGCACCTCTTCCTCGGCGGCAGGTCGGCGGCAGCTGGCGGAGAGTGGCGGCAAAATTTCCCAGAGCGTGCCACGTGGCATGGTGGGCGGACCACATTTTCATTCGGCGAAGAATGGCAATCTCGAACGTATCCCTATCCCCAAGATTGACACGCCAAAACACCAATAACAATCTTAGGGATTCGCCCTCAAAAACCAAGGGAATCCCTAAGACGTTCCAGGCTGGTAAAGAATGGCAGTCTCAAGATAATATCACAACGAACACGAATTCACGAATTCATGCACGCACTCGTCCGCAGCCGCAGCCAAATCATGGCCATGCCCGGCTCGCTGCGCGGACCGGCGGGACACACGTCCGTATCCGCGGCCTCGCGGGCCGAGCCCCTGGGCCGCGACCCCGCGGCGCACGGGGCCTGCTCGTGCGCATGTCCCGCGCGGAACGTCGCCGTGCGGCCACCTGTCCGCGGGGGGCGCGCCCCCGAGTGCAGATCGCGAGTGTGCCCTGGCATCGCTCGGACGTGTGCCTTTTTTCTTCGGCGAGGACCATCGAGGAGCATCCTTGATCATTTGGCGAAAAAGCCACGCACGAAACCGAAAAAAACACAGGGAATGGACGTCCGAGCGATGGCGAGGTCCAGGTACGGACATGTTCGCCGCTCGTGGTGGCAGGGTCCAGGATGGCCCTGGCCAGGCCCGGTGGTGTGTGCGGCACGCCCACGCCATGCCGACGCGGCGGCGAGCCCGTCGCGGGCGTTCAAGGCTGCACGCCGCCGGTCGATCTGCGCCATCGTGGGAAGCAGAGATCACTTGAGGCCGAGCGATCCACGCGGCGTCAGAAGCCAACGCCCGCGTCGTCGCGACGCGAACCTGCCGTGCATGCCTCCAGGTCTCTAGGCCTTGCAAAAGGGGTCGAAGTGGATGTGGTCAGAGGATCGTTCCGCATCGCTGATGTATCGGCGACGCGGCTCGATGTGCAACCCGATTTGCTCCACGCGGACGTCACCAATGCATCACCGACGTCGCCGGTGCATCGCCGATGCATCGCCGATGCATCGGCGACGCATCGGCGATGCGGCGCGATTTTTCGACCTCATCTACTCGGACCCCATCCTGGAGGCCTCTGTCCACGCGGCGTCAGAAGCCACCGCCCGCTTCGTCGCGACGCGAACCTGCCGTGCATGCCAGTGCCCAGGATGATCCTGGCCAGGCCCGATGGTGCACAGGTACCCTCTAGCAGGGCGATTTGACGTTTTCAGTGGCAGTGCGATTTGAACACAGTGCCAGCTGATGCGTAAGAGCTTCGTGGAAAAATGTAGTGCCGTCCGGGAACTGTCGGCATCACCCAAACATGCCTGTACGCTGTGTGCGTCGGTTCCCCCAGGGGCGACGCACACATCGTACCAGTACGGGAAAAGTAGTGCTGTGTTATTCTTGGGACCGGCTGGGGGGCTGAGGGGGGGCACATTTGTGGTTCCAGCCGGTAGAGAGTGGAAGAGGGACCATTCTGCATGGGTCTCGCTCCCTGTCCCCTCTGGGCCGCCTTGTTCAGATGGGGATTGGATGCCGAACTTTCCCCCCCCCCCCTCCCCCTCCTCCCCCCCCTGTTGGTCCCCGTCCACAGCAGAGCCCCCAGTCGCCTCCAGTGCCCCTCTGAGTTCCACTGGACGTCCCGCGCGGGAGGGACCTCCTCAGAAGGCTCCAGAGGCCTCTCCGGCCTTCGGAGGAGCTCTCTCCGAGGACGGGCGGCTTCTCGGAAGGCCACCTCCCTGAGAAATTCCAGGAGCTCCGCCGCCTTCTGAGAAGGCCTGCCCCCTGTCACTGCCACCCTCGGCGCGACGCCGACCTTGGCTTTCTCTGGTCCTAGCTTTAAGTCGGGCGTGTCCCCCTGCAGGGGGATTTTCGACGAAAAAGAAAAGATACCCCCAGAAATAGTTAAACAATAGTCCAAACATAGTCTGGGGACTATTTTTTGGCTTTGTTTTTGGACCTTTTGGGGGTATGTTTGGGGGTATTTTAAATTTTTCGCCCAAAATCCTCCTACAGGGGGATTTTCGACGAAAAATAAAGAACACCCCAAACATAGTCAAACAATAATCCCAACATAGTCTGGGGATTACTTGTTTGCTATATTTTTTTTAACTTTTGGGTGTACTTGTGGGGGTACTTTTTATGTTTCGCCCAAAATCCCCCTGTAGCGGGACACGCCCGACTCGATCCCGGCTCGGGTCTTCGACGGCCGGGACGGCCCCCGCACCCCCCGGCGCGCCCTCCGCGAGGCGCGAGCCGCCGAGCTCCCTCAGCCTCGGACCCTCGGCCCGCAGCCTCGGACCTTACCAGCCTCGAACGTATCCCCATCCCTCAAAAAATGAGGGAATCCCTAGGATTGGCATCGTGATGAGGGGGTGCCCAGCATAGGGACAGGGATATGTTCCAGGCTGGTAGGGACCTTGAGGTGAACGCGCCGCCGGCCTCGCACCTCGAGAAGCACGGAGGCGCCCAAGAAAAACCCAGAGCAGCTCGAGCCCGCAGAACTCCCGCACTCCTCCCTCCAAGCTGTCTCCCGACGGACGCCCAGGCCCAGGGGGAGGAGGGGGAGGAGGAGGAGGAGGAGGAGGAGGGGGGAAAAAAGGGAGAGGAGGGAGGAGGAGAGGGGAAGGAGTAGGATGAGGTAGGATGAGGCGGTGGGAGAGGATGAGGGAGGAGAGAATGAAGGGGCGGTAGGAGGAGGGATGTGATGAGGAGGAAGGGGAGGGGGGAGGGGGGAGGGAGGAGGAGGAGGGGGGAGTAGGGGTATGCAGGAGTGTGGGAAGGACGGGTAGTATGGGGGGGGGGGCGGGTCGGAAGGGGGGGTGGTGGGTGGGGTGTGTATGTGGAGGACGAGGAAGTGCGATGGAGATGAGGAGGGAGGAAGGGTTAGGTGAGTGGGGGATTGTACAAGGGAGGTAGGGGATGGTGGGGAGGGGAGGAGGGTGAGGTAGGAGGGTTTAGGAGTGGGGGGTGTGGGTAGGAGGTGATGAGGATGGGGAGGATGGAGCAGTTGGAGGGGTAGGGGTAGGAGGAGGGAGGGGGGGTAGGGAGGTGGGGAGTTGTAGGTGCGTGATGGGAGCGGGACGGCAGGGGTGAGGGGAAGGAAAGAGGGGAGTGAGTGGGATGCGGTTGTCGGCCTCCCGAGCGCGCATTGCTCCTGTACTTGGGGCCTGCCCCTCAAGGGGGGCCCCCGCTTCCCCGGCCTCGCGGGGCCGGCGCCCCAGGACGCGCCTTTCCGCCCCCGCCGCCGGCGGGCCGCCGCCGGGCCGCCGCCGTCGTCGGTTCGCCGCCGCCGTCGCCGGGGAGGACTGGAGGACTGGAGGTGGCCTGGAGGAGGACTGGGGGCGAAGGAGGAGGAGTAGATGAGGAGGAGGAGGAGGAGGAGGAGGAGGAGGAGGTGGAGGAGGAGGAGGAGGAGGAGGAGGAGGGGGAAGAAGGATGAGGAGTAGATGAGGAGGAGGAGGTGGAGGAGGATGAGGTGGAGGAGGAGGATGTATGGAGGAGGGCTGGAGAAGGAAGATGCTGGTGCTGATGCTGATGCTGATGCTGATGCTGATGCTGATGCTGATGCTGATGCTCTGCTTCTGCTGGTGATGAGGAGGCGGAGGGGTATGATGATGAGGATGATGGTGATGATGATGATGATGATGACGATGATTATGATGACGATGCTGATGGTGGTAGTGATGATGATGAATATGACGATGCAGACGAACATGACGACGAAGACGACTCTGATGCTGATGTTGATGCGGGTGATGATGATGGTGAGGCTGATGATGATGATGCTGATGATAATAATGATGAAGAAGATGATGACGATGCTGCTGCTGATGATGATGATGGTGGTGGTGACGGTAACGCTGATGTTGATATGGACGGGGATGATGCTGCTGCTGATGATGGTGATGGTGGTGGTGGTGATGATGACAATGCTGATGATGATGATGATGATGATGATGATGATGATGATGATGATGATGGTGATGATACGGAGGAGGAGGAGGAGAAAGAGGGGAATGAGGAGGTGGAGGAGAACGAGGTATTGAGGAGGGCAAGATAAAGAAGATGCTGATACCCATGCTGATGCTGTTTCTGCTGCTGCTGCTGATGAGGAGGCGGAGGGTATGATGGTGAGGATTGTGATGTTGATGATGCTGTTGATGATGGTGGTGATGATGGTTGTGGTGGTGGTGACGATGATGACGACGCTGACGCTGATGATGATGCTGCTGATGATGATGCTGATGATGACGATGATGGCGGTGGTGATGATGCTGACGATGGCGATGAAGATTAGTATGACGATGGAGTCGCTTACGAAGACGAGCTGATGTTTTTGCTGATCCTGATGATGGTGATGATTATGCTTAGGAATCTGACGATCGCTTAATGATGATGATGCTGATTTCGATTATGCTGACGACGGCGATTTTTATGATGCTGACGATGGTGATGCTGATGATGAGGACTATGCTGATGACGATGCTGCTGCTGATGATGATGCTGATGATGATGATGCTGGTGATGCTGATGATGGTGATGCTGATGCTGATGCTGAGGCTGATGATGATGACGGCGACGATGGTGGAGGTGGTGATGCTGCTGATGATGGTAATGATGCTGTTGATTTGGACGGGAAAGATGATGCTGCTTGGACTGCTGCTGCTGCTGCTGCTGCTGATGATGATGATGATGATGATGATGATGATTCTGCTGATGGTGATGATGTGGAGGAGAAGGAGGAGCAGGAGGAACATACGGATGCGGATGATGAGGTGGAGGGGACTGAGTTATGGTTGAGGACTGGAGGAGGGAGATACTGATGCTGATGCTGATGCTGATGCTCTGCTGCTGCTGATGAGGAGGCGGATAAGCAAATCTGAGGATGGTGATGATGATGATGATGATGATGATGATGATGATGATGCTGATGCTGATGCTGATGCTGATGCTGATGCTGAAGCTGATGCTGCTGATGATGATGAGGAACATGATGATGCTGGCGGTGGTGATGATTCTGATGACGTCGATGATGATGCTGATGATAATGCTGATGATGATGCTGCTGTTCTTCCTCACGACGATGATGATACTGCTGCTGCTGATTATGCTGCTGATGTTGATGATGCTGCTGCTGCTGCTGATGGCGGTTAATATTACTATGGCGGTGAATGTGACTACGACTACCATTATGATGCTTAGGTTGATGCTCCCGCTGCTACTGCTGATGGTGTGGATGATGGCGGTGATGATGATGATCATGATGATGATGCTGATGATGATGATGATGATGATGATGGTGATGATGATGCTGATGATGATGATGATGATGATGATGATGAGGCTTAGGGAACTTACGATTGGTATGACGATGCTCATGATGGTACTGATGATGATAACGATGATGCTGACGACGACTATGATGCTGAATATGACGATGAATATGATGATGGTGATGCTGCT